CTCTAAGACTCTTTCAGAGGAGATTCAAGGACAAAGATGTCCAAAAGGATATTCAGCAGGTTGGGGGAGAAATCGTTTAAAGCCCAGGTGAATACAAGTGCTTCAGGAAATGTTAGCTTTATCTTAAAAAAAAAAGAAGTGTCAAGGTCAATTTGCTGTTATAATCACATGCCATAAGGGCTGCATTTGCTACGGTATTCAGTTATATACCCTGTGGGAAGCAGGCAGTACTTCAGAATTTTGGGAGAGGCAGATGACAGAACTGAGAAGATGATACGTTTTCAGGAACAGGGTAGCTCTACTCAGCACCTTGATTTTAAATACAAAACATACTGGAGATATTCAACAGTTTTTACCTATTTCTTTTTTTTAAAATGCATTTTTATAAGAATTCTTCCATTCTTCAGATGGAGAAAGCTTGCCAGGTCACAAGTAAGAAAGCAACATGAAGTGTCAATCACCATTTCAATACGAGTCTCATTGTTCCAATATGAATAAACAAATTTTACAATTACTTAAAGGCCCTGGGTAGTGAGAAAAGGCTACAGAACTAGGAGAGTTATATTTATACACAAATCAGTGTGTCTTAATGGTTTTCAACCGGTCAGCTGCTAAGAAAATAAAGCACAAACACAGAACAAGATCACGATCTATTACTGAAATGAACCAGGAAGAAACCTTCACCTAAATCCCAATTAAAAGCTGAACATTTCAAATGACAGTTTTAAGTAGGACCGACAATTCTCTGCAGGCCCTGCTACCCCAGCAAAATCAGGTTTTGCACCAGAAGCCCATGAGGCAAGGTGGGTTTTGTTATTGGGTTTTTTTTTGGTTTTGAAAGGTTTTGATTGTTTGTTTGTTTTTTAGTTTTGAAATAGCTATAAATAAGAGATTTATTTTTCTTCCAAGCTCATAGTTAATGCTGCAGTTGTCAAAGTTAAGTTTTCAGTATCCTGGAAGTCAGACTCCCTCTTAAACTGCTGAAGTAACTTATTCTCTCAAAAAACCACTTCTGATAATGAAACCTGAGAAAGAAAGGGCAAATATTTAGACTTGGTGGTTGGTAGCTTTCATCTGAGCAGGGAAAGGTATGGCCGTGTCTTAAGTCTAATGAAGTATTTAAGCAGGTGGGTGCTGAAGAGACTTCTTCCAGCCCATCCTACATTCAAGTCTGCTACAATTCTAACAGAAAAAAATGCATTCACCCACATCCTGTTTCACTGACACAGGAGGAAGCAACATCCTTCCAGTGGGTTTTGGAGGTGTGTGGGTTTTTTTTTAAATTCTTTTTGGTTGGTTGGGTTGGTTTTTTATTTGGGTAGAGTTTTTTAGGGGTGGGGTTTTTTTTTTTTTTTTTTTTTTTTTTTTTTTTTATTTAAAAAGATTCGGGGTTTTTTTTAATGCAGTAACAAGGCTCAGGGACTAAATCTGTTGTAAGATTCAAGGCGTCCATTCGGAACTGGGAAGCATGTTGCTAGGACGTGGAAGCTGGTATACCTCACATTTCCAATGGGCAAACCTATACTCCTTACCTATCTCCTTTTCTTCCTCAAGATCTTGGAATAGCTGACTCTGGAGTATCACTTCTCAGTCCTTCCCGAAGTATTCAAGTGCAGGAGGAATTTGATTTTGACTGCCTGATCCCCCGTAGGAAACCGAAGTACACTGCCCTGCTCTTGTACCCGAAACAGAAGAGTCGTTCTTCAGGGAACCATGCTGGGGGCCCATGAATTTAGGTCACGTTACAGGGAAGATTCTGTGAAGTCAGTACCTGCTTTACACAAACAGTTTTATGCCTTTAAGACCACCGTGTTTCAGTTCAGTGCTGTAACCTGTAGTTCATGTTGCTTTTTAGATTTATGAACACCTTGATTACCTGATCTTTTAACTAAAGCACCATTAACCACTGATTTAATGACCACTGGGGCTTGCTAAAAAAAAAAAAAGTATTCAAATGGGATTTCAACTGCAGACCACTAATCCAAGGAAAATGTAAGAAAGGGAATGAATCCTTTCTGCTCTCCCACAAAGGCAGGGTTTTGTTTTCTGTAAAACAAACAGGGCTCTTCAACTGCAGAGTAAAATTCTGTAGCGATAATTCTTCAATTCCAAAAAAATCAAATCTAAATTTGGACGTAAGGGTGTGAGTAAGGTAATGTGCAGTAGTTTCACTCCTGCTGCCTCCTTCAATACCGAAGGATATAATTCATGAGGGTAATACCCGCATTTTTCAGGTTTTTCAAGATGTCACGTTCCTCCAAGCTGCCTGGCTCCATACCTCAAACAGCTCAGAAACTCAATCTAGTAAATGCCAAGGAAACACAGAAAAAAAAAAAAGTCAGTCTATGATTTATATCCCTAAAAACTCTGGCTGCCCCACACTCCTTGACTACAAGCTAAATTCTGGCTCTCGGGCCTCCTTCATGCCCAACTAACAAAAGGCTAATGCACTAATTGGATAATTAAACCCCAGATGTGAGCAGAGCAGTTGCAGGCCAGACCAAATAGGGTAAAATAAAACTGCTGAAGAGCAGCTGTGGGAAAGGAGGAAAAACCTCTGTTAGACATGCTAGAAAGCACAGGATCCCAATTCAGACAAGGTACAGAATCACCACCCTGAAGCGTCCAAGCAATTTCTCCGTAGCCTGGTTCCTAAGCTCTTTCCAAGTCATATTTTTATAATTCTACCACCGTTTGAATGAAAGAAGAAAGCAGACCAACAGCCTTGATTTCAACCAGTTTCTAATGACAGAACACAAGGCTGCCTCAACTGCAGCCGATAGTAAATCTCAGCGTTACCACCTTTTTACTTCTCTTTAAATCCAAAGGAACAAAGTCCAGCAGGAGAGCATCCATTAGAAAACATAGCAGGAGCTGCTCGATACCACAACAGCTGGTGACGCTCATGAAAAGGTTATGACAGATGGGAGCGAGAGGGAGGAACTACTGTAAGAAGGAGTCGGAAAGAGAATTCTTCCCTAGCAAAAGCAAATCATAACCAGCAGTTACGGGCAGACCTTTACACTGTTAAAGTGCTCAAGGGCCAAACCAACTCGTTCAGCACCTACCATGCATGAAGTAAGGTACCTCTTTAAAATAAAAGATCAGAGTCCTCTGGCATCGAGCTGCTTCCTGGTAGGAGGAAGAGAGGGACAAAAACAACGCATCTTGCGTGCAACACGAGAAAGTCAAATTTTGAATTTACATGCTGCTTTGTTAAGTTTGAATAAGCACAACTCTAGCACGTAAACACTTGGCTTTTTCTAAAAATAAAGGAGGAAGAAACAGAAAACTGGTTTTTCGTGTAGAAACCTGAAGGTGAAAGGGAACATGAGTAATTTATTCATAATATTAATGAAGACGCCGAATATCTAGTACAGGGCTTGCCAAGTTGTTGACGACAGACTGTTCAACGGACACCACTAAGCATTAAAAAAGTAACATTAGTCAGCAAGAGTCTAGTTCCTCCAATGCAAAAGGTGCTTAGCAGTTTTACTTCTAATTCTCACTCGACAGCCCTGACAGAACCAAGATGCTACAGATTCAGGAGGTCGGAAAAAGACAGCCGAGCTGCAAGCTGATCTTACATTCAAAGAGTTATCAAAATGATCTACTACGCACATAAGTGGAAAAAGTGCTGCACTTCATAAAAGCCCTGATGCAGAAACCATTGAAGCCGTTTGGCATTCTTCCAGTTACTGTAACACACTTTGGAGTGGACAGAGTGACTTATTATCAGCTCTGGATTGCAGACTGGAGTCCTCAAGAATTGATTTGAAATCTCATTTAATGGAGTTTATGAAATTAATATTAAAAGGCATCATTTTCTCTGCTATAACACTTCCAAGGGAGCTCAGTCCCATGTCAGAAGATGATGATAACCAATCAGGATGTTTATAAAACGTTTATGTATCTGTTCATATGTGCACATCCCATGCAAACCAAAGGGCAACTACCTTACAAAGTAGCACGCATTTCTCGGGTGAAAAAAACCCCAAATCAAACCACCCAGAAGAGGCTGGCACACGGTAATACCGGAGGGAATAATTTACTATTTATATTTAAAGGGTAAAAGGTAGGTTGTAGCACAGCAGTCATTTTTCTTGAGCTGAATCTGTATCGGTGCTCCAAGTGATTTGTGTTTCATAGCAACACGTTGAGCTTTATACGCCCAACTCTGATCTTTTTTATGCAGCAAAACTTTGCCTATTTTTATTTTCCAACTTACTGTTTGTTTTTCAGTAATACTGGGTTTTCCTTTTAGCTCTGAAGTACCACATGCACAGGCCAATCTCCTCAGAATTCGCAGGGATGAGCATGAGAGGTCTTAAAAAGATTTCACAGCTCTAAAAGCACAGATTTGTGTAATTTTACTCTGCATCTGCCTCCTCCACATCCATCACTACTCTTATCTGATGCTTTGCAGACAAGCTGCACAGAACTGCACCTGGTTTTGTCTGGGGTTTTTTTGAGATCAAAGCTCACTCATTTGACTCTTCAGGGCAGCGGATTCTCATCAGCAGTGGGGACAAGCAGGGTGCTGGCCCATTTCTGCTGTGCTTTTTTTCTGCTGTGCTTATTCAAACAAACCAGTTAAGTTGGAATCACAGAATTGCAACTTCCCAAACAAACTGATGGGCCGAACACTAAGGCCACTACTAACGGCACCTGTGCAAAAAGGTTCTGTACCCTGTCAGTATCTGCTTAGTAGAGCCGTTTCCAAGGGAAATGCTGAAGCACATACCCAAAGGCTATCGCACAATTCCATCATACATACTGCATGTATTTCATTCAACTTCAGCAACGGAGGAAGGAAGAAAACTTCCCAAACGAACAAACATCATTATGAAGGCTGCAGCCTAAAAAGACTCATTTAAACTGTCCCAGCAGAGTTCTCCAGCTGAAGGAGGCAACTTAACCCAAGAGTAACCTTTCAACAACACCTCACCTATGCACCAAGGTCAGGCACTTGCTCTTACTGTGCTCCATGCACCGTGATCAGCTCTCCTAGAGCAGCAGGGCAGTTATTAAGTCATGCTCCAAGACTAGTTATAGCAAGACTTAGGTGTGCAGAAACCTGCGCAGCGTGCTAAATGAGACAGGGGCAGCTTACTATGCAGCACGCCAAGAAGTAGCCATCCCCGAACCCGCTGTAGGTGCGTGCTTACACAACCCATCCATTCTTGTCTGGCTGAGTGGAACTGATGCAGTGTTACCAGGGATGCACCACTTTGCTACCAACACACCTGCTTGATGGGCTTTGACTTTATATTTACTTAAACCTTCTCCACTGTTTTCAGCAGTGCAGTAGCTGGATGAATGCTGCCTCTAGGACCGGCTCTAATTTGGTCCTGGTGTAAATACAAGTTAACCTGTGACCAGGCTTTAAAGAAGCATCTAAGTCTAAAGGATGCATAACAATCACAGACCAAAAAGATCACCATCTACAGCCAAGGTGCCAAGCTACCTTTAGTATTTAAACCCAACTTAAGCGGTTAATAAATTCATACTGAATGACAGGCTCGATATGAGGCTGAGACAACCCAGGAGTTCCAGCGACTCCAAGCTCAAAATTATGCTGTTACCAAAGTACAGTCGTTGGCATGTTTTATACAGGACTGCCAAGGGGAAAAAAAAGCGTTACTAAGTTGGTACTAACACCATGCACAGTTCTCACTCTTGTTCTACAGTCTCCATGTAGCCAAATCCTTATTATCGGAATTTTTTAGATGAGTAACATACTTTTCTTGTATAACCAATGGCTTGGTTAACACAAGAAAGCTTGGTCAGCTTAAGCAGTGCATCAGCATACAACTTGTAAGGTGGAAAACTTCGAAAGATACACGGTTTAGAAGGTTGCTCAAGTGTTACCACGCACCCGAGCTGCTACTTCACGCTGTGGGTTGGCACCTACCGCGTATGGGCGAGCGCGCGGAGCAGTACGGCATGGCTTCTTCGCTGGGGGCCGGGGTGAACAGCGTGAGGTTCGTGTACACATCGTGCGTTTTGGAGTAATCCAGGTCCCGCGGCGAGTCCGAAAACCCACGGAATACGGTTGAAGGCCCACCTCGGTAGAGTATCAGGATAAATATTGCTTGGAAGACAAACAGGAACAGCAGAAAGCAAGGATTTTCGACACGAGAGAGGGACATAGCTCTTAGCCCATGCTCTGGAATCAGACGGATGAGGAGTTCCACGGAGCTGCC